GGGGTTGTACTCTTTGCAATTGGTAAAGACTCGCTGTAAATCAGCCATGAATAATTTCTTAGACACGTAGTACCTATTCTTGAGGCGTTCACTCATGGTTTTCAGATCTGCACAGGAAAAAAAAAATATTAGTGATCTTTGACTCCTTATAAACACTAGGTGACAAAAACAAGAGAGAGAAGGAAATCTATGTTGCTCGCTTGATTACTTTTCTATCATCCCAGTGCCTTTAAGTTAAACAATTCTGATCAAGGAAAACAGTTCTTAAATCTTACTGTTCATTCTTTTCAGAGGGTTTTTTAACATAAAATTATAGCCATTTTAATATTAATGGAACCATTACCAGTCATCTGGTCCAATGCCCTATTGAGCACAAGGAAGCTAAGTAGATTAGCAACAATAAGTATGACAAACTGTCTAATGTTAGCTATTCATTCAGAATTACACAGAAGAGGCCCTATCTACATGGAGTAGAGCAGCTGGATCATTTGTGTTGAAATATTTAATTACTTAAAACAATCAGATGGAGTTTGTCTCACTAAATTCAGTTGTTTTGGTGTTGTATATAGGAATAAAGTAGAGAAATTAACAACCCTTTCTTTTCTAAAGCAAGTAAGTCCACAAGACTTGTAAAAAATATTTTCCTGGGCCGGGGATTCAGCTCAGTGGTTCCGCCACCTGCCTCACAAGCACAAGGACCCAAGTTTGATCCCCAGTACCAAAAAGAAAAATAATAAAATAAAATAAAATAAAATAAATAAATAAATACATATATATATTTTCCCCATATATCTATACATTTTAGATTGTATTATTCTATAAATGAAAAAGAGACTGCAAATGTGTTTTCTCAATTCTCAAGATCAATTTAAAGAATTCTGTGCAAATTAGAAGATCCTATAATTTTCTTATGGGTGCCTAGTTGTCTTTTAAGTCTGGCTCTATCATTTGAAATGATAATTAATTATAGCAACTATGTGCAGAAAAAATGAGTCAAACTGGCTACAGAAACACTCTGGCTACCGACACCCCAAATTCCCACTCTATTATCAAATGGTCCAGAGGAAAAGAAATTTACAACCAAATACACTGGCAATATAATTTAATAAGATGAGTAAATTTATGTACAATAGGAAGAAATTCATTTGCATCAAAATTCTAAATCCATAATTTAAAAAATACAAAACTAAAATAAAATCCTAAATCTACCCCAAACACAAAAGAGAACATGGAAAATATCTTGTTCTGCTTATCTTTAAGACCTATCTCTCATAGAGTATGTCATTACATCTCAACTTTCAGTTTTTCTTCCTTAACTGACACACAGTTTGGAGCCCTCCCATGTGTGGGGAGAGGGGTCTAAAAGTGTTAAGAAAAACAAAGACTACAAATTATCCATTAAATATCTCATCTAAGTATAACAACACATCAGGGGGTTCTCTCATTTAAGAAAGAGTGATGAAATTGTGACTCTAAGTAAAATCAGGTGTTTACATTCCTTCCACCTAAAAGCCTACCACTTAAGATACGCTGCCCTAGCCAAGAACAGTGGTGCACACACCTGTACTCCCAGCTACTTGGGAGGCTGAGGCAGGAGGGCCACAAGTTCAAGTCCAGCCTGGACAATTTAGTAAGAACTTGTCTTAAAATAAAAAATAAAATGAACTGGGGAATGTAATATAGTGCGAAGGCCATTCGTAGAGCTGAAAAAAATATATATTGTCCAATATAATGTGTTTTTTGTGTGTGACGAAGTTTATTTGAAAAAGTAAAAGTGAAAAGTGAGGGAGACACTGGCTCTGCAGAGTGAGCTTAGGCCGGGTAAAAGGAAAAAGCAAGATAAAAATATACCCTTGAGGAAGCAGGGTGGGCTATCATGAGAAAAGCCACAATAGCTTATAATGTTTTAAAAAATAAACATGTTGCAAAAAAAAAAAAAAGAGTAGAAAGATGCATGAAACTTGACCCAAAGAAGTTGCTGTAAAAGGATTTAGGGGCAATATAAAAGAGCAGAAACAAAGCAAGAATAACAGAGGTAACTGACCTTCATGGGTAATTATAATCAATTCTAGACTTCCTTTCTATATTTCCCTTCTATTTTAAAGCCACAGGTGGCAGCTTTCTTCCTCTTGCCTTCTTAAATTCTTTCAACTGACCACATGGCAAAAGTTTTTTTAAAAATGACTAAATATTGGTGGCATCAAATAAGGACACCATTAAATTCTTCTATTTTCATTCTCCCTCCCCCTTCCCAGCCTGTGAATTCTAGGCAAACAGGAAAACACTGCACACCTCGCCCTAGGTTAGAAGTTATAGTTGGTGAGACCACTCTCAGACAATGCTCACTGTACAACTCCCTATATGAAACAAGTTGGAATCCATCCATCTGGGAGAAAAGAATATTCAGAATATGGGGAAAAAAAACACGCTTTTAGAAAAATCCAAGAAAGCATTAATGGGAAAATGTAAAATGACTGACTTGTCAGTCTCATCTTCAAATAGATGACCATCTTACCAGCAGGACTACATGATTTCTTCAGCATCTGAAGGCATCCAAGAAACACAACTACTGGTCCACCAAAGAGCACCTTTACTGTTTTAATTAACTTTGTCTAGGACATGTCTTCGTCATCAATGGCTTTGCTCAACAGGGTCAAATTTCTCAAGAGCACTCAGCTATGCAGATAGCTGGCATCCAAGTGGAGAAGCTCACACCTTTCTCCTGCTATGAGCAGTTTATGACAGCCAGGATCTGTCAGACCTACCACGGCAGGTCTTCAAGTGTATATCAATAGGCTAAAAAGGACTTATTCTCTTTCAAAACTCATACAACTTCCCATGAGGGTTTCCCCAAAGAGGCTGAGATGAAGCTAGGGTATAGCTCAATGATACCAAAAAAGATGTTGAGATGTCCCAGAGGATGAAAAAACCCACTTAAGATAGGAAATGGACACAGAGGATCTAAACATATTTTTCACACAGTAGAAATTGAGTTACAAATCACCCTTCCTTTCAGAATTTGGTTAATCTTCCCTTTCTTGTACAATATACAGTGGCAAGACAGAGAGAAGAGGGAAGGAAAAGCATGTAGATGTAGAATGAGGACAGGCTATTTAGATCATTACTATAACTATATATAACATGAAAAATTAATGCCATAGGAAACCTTGGTAAGTAACTCCCAACCCACTGAGGAGCAAGGGGATCCCTTTCATCCTTCCTTCCATATTTTGGAACAGATTACAAGTAGAAAAGGGACAGAAGACTCTGCCTCTTATTTCAGCTACTTGTCATCTGCACATTGCCAAACTAATTTAGGGTTCTCAACTGACTCAATTAATCATTCCTGTATTGTAGTTCAGGCACAGCACTGAATTGCAATTCTATATTTCTTCCAATTTCAGTATATGTGCTGCTGAAGTAAGCAATGCAATTCTACATTTCTGAAGGCATCTTTTTTTCTTTTTGGATGAGGACAAAGCTTAGAAAGTATACATTAACTTCAAGCCCAGCCTGGACAACTTGGTGACTTAGAAAGACCCTATCTCAAAAATAAAATATAAAAAGGGCTGGGAATGCAGTTCAGTCCAAAGGCCCTGGGTTCAATCCCCAGTACCACAAAAAATAATAAACATAGTGCCATTAACAGCATCCATCAAAAGCATGACACCGATTGCACTAACTACAATTGCTTCCTCTGAAAATAAAGCAGTCAAACAGATTAATCTACCTTCCTGAGTAATATCTTGAAAAAGTCTTAAAAGAAATGGCCATTTTGGGCCAGGGATTTAGCTCAGTGGTTTCACCACCTGCTGCACAAGTGCAAGGACCTGAGTTCGATCCCCGGTACCAAAAAAAATAATAACAATAAAATAAAATAGAGTTAATAAAAAAAGAAATGGCCATTTATGATAGACTCAAACATATAAAAAGGACAAAACCTGATATTTTTCCATCTGCAATAAAACAGGTAGCTTATAAGCAAGGGTATGTCCAAATAACCAACTCCCATATCCAGAACCATCAGCAGTTTGGTTCCCCACCTGGACTTCCTGTGTCTGGTGTACAGAGTATGTCTGGTCTGCACTGTCAAAGACGGCTATAGAATGTCTCTAATGTAAACAGTCACCCGCTTCTCCACCGTCACTGCTCTGACATCACTGTCCCTCCAAAGACACAAGGAATCATCCTACCACCCATCATATACTTACTACGCTATCAGAGAGTGGAGCAAATCAACCTCAACAACCATTTGTCCCCTACTCTGCCATCCAGAGAATTTTAAATATATACTTAGAAAATTTTAATGGCATTACCCATGGGGAACCTTATAACTTCATAATATCCCGGAGCTTCTGTTCTCTTCACAGGTTCCATGAAGGGCCAAGCGCTTTGATGGTTCTTGGGTAAAGAAAAAAGTAAGGTATCTAATATAGAAATTAATGTGGGAAATCATTTCAAAATATTTGCATGAAGTGAATGAAGAGAATACCCACCTTCACCTGCTGGAGGATGCTCTTCAATGTGCTGTAAAGCTGGTCAGGGTCTTTGGGCTCTTTACTTGAAACGAAAAAAACAGACAACAAGCAGCAAGGATTAGTTTTTACCCTCTTGCCAGCTGATTATTATTCAGCTCATTCTTTCAAAAACCTAAAATTGGAACCATTCCAGAACATTTTATGAAAATTGAAACCCACCAACTGTTGCATTACTGATTATAATCGGTCTGCCCTTTTTCTCTAAATTGCTAGGAAGGGGAAAAAAAATCACTTCCATTAACATCCGCTTGCCCATCTACTTACCTTTTGTCTTTTCCACTCGGTTTCCAGCCTGTCTCTCCTATATGTCAACAAAATTAAACACTAAATGAGAACTACTTTTGGTCAAAGAATAACATACTTAATACTTATCAAAAGAGTACTAAATTAAAGCCATGCCTCAATAAAAGTCTATTTTTGAAAACAGACTGAAACTAATGGCATTTATTTACTTCTTTATATAGCTCACAATGCAAATTTCCCAGACTTACAACACAGCCCTAGTGTTTTTTAAAGCATGAACTCCAGCCTTTCAGAGGAAAGCAGAAGTAATCTTTCAGTATTATAGTTTTAAGCTGTAAGTCAAATTACCTCCTAACCACCACCTGAAAGAGTGAAGCCATTATTGCAAGTTAGAGCAAACTCTCCTCCAGTTTCTATTTTATTTGGCCAGGATACTGCTTATAATTCAAGATGCTTTAGTGTAGAGAGCTGTAGAGAGCTGATAAATCTGGATTTGGTTTCCTGATCTCTCTTTAAAAACTAACTTACCCTAAATAAGTTAGTTAACCTCTGCCTCTGTTTATCAGGCTACAAAACAGAACTCTAAAAATTAGGTGATATTATCCCGGAAGGGGAAGGAAGGGGGAAGGGGAAGGGAGAGGGGAGAGAGGAGAGGGGAGAGAGGAGAGGAGAGAAGAGCAGGGCTGAGTTGAGCTGACACAAACAAGCACTTAATGATATGGTAGATAGCTATGATAATACTAATCACTACTAGCAACAACACAGAGAAGTAGAATTTCTGATTTTAACAGTAAAAATAAGATCTGCTATAGAACAGATATAATAGTTTATCTTGCCCAAATAACATTTTATTTTTTCTGGAGAATCAGTTTGCTTCATTCTATTTTGCTTATTAAATCTTCAATATACTATGAGAACCTAGATTTGAAACAAATAAAATTGCCAAATGATAATCAATAGCTTTTGATATATAAAAATATCTATTTTGGCTTAACCCAGTGCAATTCATCTGAACACAGACAAGTCTCAGGGAAACTAGTATAAAATAAGGAACTTCAAACAAATTATATGATTTCCATCACACACAGCAAATAATTTTAAGTGAATTTTGAGGAAACTAAGTCAATTACAGATCTATGCAGGTTACAATGATGATGGCAATGAGATAAGGTACAAACTGTAAGATGTTTGAAGGAGATCAAAACTGGACTGCTTCATTACTGACCAGATGTCATTTAGTGTTAAATGACATAGCTATTCTGAGACTCAATTTATCCATTTGTAAACACAGAATTTCCCTGCTTTCAATGTTGTATATAGGCAGTGCCTAGCACTGTGTTACAAATGCCATGCTCTTGAAGAACGGTAGATGTTAACTGCTAAAACGAGAGGACACCCTCTGGTTTGTTTGAAGTGGAAGGAGAAGAAAGGATAGTAAAAGGAAGGACTGGAAACAACACAAACAGGAAGGGCTATACGGCTTTTCAAATTACTACACTGTGGAAACTGTTTCAAACACAACTCATGGCACTACCACAAGATTTTGCTTTTATAAAAAGGTCTATACATACTAATTCCAGGAATGCTTTCTACAGGAATCTGTCGAACTCCATCTTTAAAACATGAAAGTCCAGGATAGACTTTTCGAATCTGGGCCTGTTTTCTTTCTATCAGCTTTTTAATTATCTGTAAAGTAAAGGAAGAAAATGTGTTTAGCGAAAGAAGTCTATGTGATTGTACAGTTCAAGTCAGTCATCGTTAAGGAACCATTTTCCTAACAAAGCAAGTCATTTTTCATTAAACATGGGAAGAAAACTGAATGCTATTTAACAGATAAGAAATGAAAACATTCTTTTACACCATATCCATTAAGTGACATTCACACAACCATCTTCAAATGACTTATCCCTGCTGTCTAGAAAAGGCAACACAATACTGAAAGAACACACTGCCCCTAATGCCCACTAGTCATATTTACAGTAAGAGCCCATTATTTTGCCTTGTTTCTCTGAGGAGCCTCTGCTGGAATTAACCAGAAAGCAGCCCATAATATTTTCACTACCTAGTCAGAATCTTTCGTATCCCATAACTAAGAATTGTTCCTTGCAGAGTAGAGGGACAGATGAATATGAATAAACCACAGAAAGTTCCAAAAGCTGGGAATAGTTATAGCCTTCCTATTATTTAAACTTCTCAAGGTTTATCCCCAACCTATGCAGCTTACATCAAAAAGCAAATGTAAAGTGGTGTAAGCAACACAACCATGCCAAGAGTCATCAGGGGAATTCTGAAAGATGTTTTCTTTTGTAAAATAATTCCTAATACAGTAGGTAATTCTAAGGTATTGCAGTTTTCCTTGAAAAACAAAACAAAACCCTTAAAAATCACCATCCTGAAATTAACTATATAATAACTGAATTTTGGAAAAGAAAAAATAAAATAAGTCACTAACTCTATTCACAAAACAAAACTTCTAGTTCTTAACTGCTTATTCAAACATATGGCTGGTAATTAATGCAATATGAATATGCAATCCTAACAGTTAAACAAAGAATTTCATAAAATTAATGGAACTAGTAGATGTATATTCCTGGTAAATCTAAATCAGTGCTGCCCAATAAGAAACATAATGCAAGCCATTCATGTAACTGAATAACTGAAATTTTTAAGTCATATTTTAATCAGGTAAAAACAAACAGGTAAAATTGATTTTAATATTTTACATGTGTGCATGCACACACACATATTTTGGCTTTTTGAGACACCATCTTGTTATATATTCTAGGCAGGTTTTGAACTCACTATGTAGCTCAAGCTGGCCTCAAACTGATGATTCTCCTGCCTCAGCCTGCCAAGTCCTGGGATTACAGGCAAGTGTCACCATGCCTAGCTTAATAGTATTGTTTATTTAAGCCATTATGTACTCAAAATATTTTAATGTATAATCAATACGGGTAAAATGAGATATTTTATATTCCTTTATTCACAACAAAGTCTTCAAAAGTGTTTTATGTGTATGGCACATCCCAATTCTAAGTAGTCACATGTCAAGTGCTCAGTAGCCTCATGTAGCTAGTAGCTGTTACTTTGTGCAGGACTCATCTGGATGGATATTTTTCCCTTAATTTATTTATAAGTACCAGTCATAGGAAAACAAACCCAATGGCAATTTTTGAAGTGGACACCTTCAGAAAATATATTGAGAACTATGCTTCACTTTGGAAAGTTCTCTAGTTTAGTGTGGTGGCACACCCCTAAATTCACAGCATTCTGAAAGGCTAAGGCAGGATGAATGCAAATTTCAGCTAGTATGAACAACTTAGCAAGATCTTGTTTCAAAAGGGGGGGCGGGGTATGCTGAGGCTGTAGCTCAGTGCAAAGGCCCTGGTTTCAATACCCAGTACAGAAAAAAACAAATTTTTTTTTTTTTTTTACAGTTTTCTATTCTTAAGGACAGGACCCTAAAATGTAATGTTTACCTAGTGGCTTTCATAGACTTCACATAGCATCCTGAAAATTGTGGGCTCCTCAAAAGTGATCTGATGGAAGTGAGAAGTTCCCTAACCACTGTCTATGCCTCCAAAGGATCATTTTGTGTTCCAATGTCTGATCTTCACCTCCCTAAAAAAATGTCTTCACTCAACATCCTCAAAATCAACACCTTCCAAATGAAAGTACAATCCTCATCACCCTCTCCTCAAATCTGTTATTTCAGTCCTAATACCTGCTGTTGTCAGTTTTACAATCTCCATGTAAGGGGGGAAGGTTCCCATCTCTATTGTGCCCCCAAATTTTAGAATGTCTCTTTACAAAAAAAACAAACAAATAAAAAGCATTAATTTTCCCCATTCTTACTTTAGCTCCTCCAAACCCAGTCCTTTGTAGTCTCACATGTAGTTTAAGATTTAAGAATTACCGCCCCTACACTGATCCCAAAAATGTGTCTCACACACACACACACACAGACATCTCTCTGTCTGCTTATAATCAATTCATTTTTTCAAATAGCGCCTTTCTTCACTCACATCCCCAGTGATCTCACCCATTCATGTTCCCATCAATCTACTTAAGATGGCCTGAGGCTTTGCTCATACTGATTCCACGACAAGGCTGTCCACAAACTTCCAGGTCTCTCACAAAGCCATCGCATCTGACACTAGACTCCTGAGGGTCCCATCTTCCCGGGGGGCCAACACTCAGAAAGTAACGCTAAGCCCTCCACTCCCTGATCCACCTGTCCAACTCTTCTAGTTTCCTTTCTCCAGCTCCACTAATGACAACTTCAATTTACTCTGTTCTCGCTGCTTTTAGGGGCTAGGAAAATCCTCAGATATATACAGTCTGATTTCTATTGTTTTCAGTTCTTACCTTACTCGAGGGGTTTTTTATAGTTAGAAGTTTTGGATTGTATAGTATTTCAGATTAGGGATGCTGGATGAGCAAAATCAGTGCAAATATTCTGAAATCTGAAAGACTCCAAAATCTGAAACACCTCACAACACAGGCATTTTGGATAACAGATACTCAATCTGTATGGGTATCTAAATATATTATTTTATTTTTGCAACCTCAGATTTTTCCACCCTCCCCCTCTCTTCTATTTTTTCTTTCTTCCTTCCTTCGTTTCTTTTCTTTTCTTTCTTTCATTCTTTCCAGCACTGAACCCAGTGCTTCCACATTGAGCTACATCCCCCAGCCCTTAATTTACTTTTCAATTTTGAGACAAGATCTTACTAAGTAAGTTTTGGAAACTGGGCTTGAACTTGCAATCCAGTTTCCTCGGTCTCTGAGGAGTATGCTAGGATTACAGGATGGCACTACCACACCAGGCCTTCAGGTCTCTTTTAAGTTCTAGAACTAGGCTCACAGCTCCAGGCCTCCATCTTCCATTCAACTGGATGTGTGAGAAAAAGCTATAGGCAGAAGAGGGAGGGTAAGGAGAGAAGAAGGGAGCCAAGAGGAAAGAAGAAAAGCAAGGGCGGGGGGGGGGGGGTTGTCTTCTAAAAAGTTGGCTGCTTTGTTAGTCATTTAAAATAGCTCTGTGCTGCTGGCTTTCCCTGTGAGTAGGGAGGGCCAACAGATTGCGTAAAATGTGCAGCCTTTGCCAAGGGAATCCTGCGCTCAGCTAACACTGGGGGATGAATTGCTGCTGCTGCTGCTGGGTGGAGGATTGAGGAAAGAGCAGCTGACAGCACAGTGACAGCTTTAGTTGGCCAGCAGCCTCTAATGCGGAACAATGTGCTTCTGAATCCAGACCTGCTCATTAAGCCCCAAAGAGAACAATGAGGAAAGCCAGCTCCTCAGTCAGAGCCAGGAGAGAGGACCCTGTTGTGCTTTATTAACTCTTCCCAGTGCCCCCTTTCAGAATGCTCTCTTACGCTGACATCTTTGACCAAGAAACAAAACAAGCTGCTTTTATTTTCTAATTTAAAAAAGAATGCCTTTTGCTCACTTCTACAGAAGCATAAGAACCAGTTTAAGGCACTTTAAATAAAAGAAAAATACTTACCGAATAACTACTGTGCACCAGACACCGTGTAAAAAGCTTTATTATGGCTGTTGCGCGGGTAATGCCTGACAAGTGACTAAGAGCTGGGATTAAGGATGGAAACCAGAAAACAAAGATGGGCTTAAGACAGATGCCTCTCTTTAGTTATTTGTTAGGGAAAAGTGCCCTGCAATGAATAACAGAAGTGCTGGGTGGAATTGATGTGAGATGACACAGCTGCAAACTTCAGCAAACCAAAGGGAGCAGGAGGTTTTCCCAAGCTTAACACACAAAGTTCATTCATGTAATAAATGGCCTTTGTGTATTCCATGGTTACATGCGTTTGATGATTTTTGTTATTGTTCTTCCTTAGAGAAATTTCAAATTGCTACCATATGTACTCAAATCTATCAATCTTTCCATTTACTGATTCTCATTTAGCTCATATACATAAAAGATGCCCCTCCAATATTAGATAACAAGCCATTAATACTTATAGGGATAAGTCTTCAGAACTTGCAATGCAAAGGGAGTGATCAATGCACGTGACTATGAATGCCTATGAAACATAACAAATGAAAATTCAAACTGGTGGATCAAATCAGTGCAAGAGAAGTTAAAAGGAAGAACTACTAATTTACAGGTGTGCTGGACCAAGGGGGTGGGGAATGGATGTGACACCAAGGGGGTTTAAACATCAGGAATGGCCTTTGGAGAATTAGTTTGGCATGAAAGTAGAACGGTAAGATTAAGAAGGTTGAGTACGGCCAAAATGTGTCAGGTTTTGGAAAGTGCAGTATTAATATGTCACTGTCTTTTACACACTTTGAAATTTACACCAATTTAACAAGTACTGACTCCCTTAGGAACTGTGATGTAGAAAGGAGATAGATGACCCATATCAAACTATCATGATCTAACAGGGCTGTACACACAGAACTCCCTGAAATGTTGCCCACCCCAACTAAGGCTGTCCTGGATATAAGGACCATGAGAAAACACGAGTTGATCTGCTTACCTCCTTCTGCTTTTTAATGATGACAGAAAATTCTGTGTATGGAATCCGTGGGTTTAGCTCACATCCCATTAAAGTGGCTCCTTCATAATCCTTGATGTAGCCAACATATTTGGTTTTAGGTATTTTAATTTCTTTGGAGAAACCCTACAAAGTAAATCAACTCATTCATATGGACATCAGGCATCACAAACATACCAAGTGCAAGGCCCAGTGTGAGGAGCCAAGATGTGTCCCTTTCAAGGTCTCGTCGTGCTGTTTAGGACAGGATTCGCTTGAAAACCACCCATGAAGTTCAAAAGCATCAGAAAGCAAACAGTGAAAATAGGAAATTAGACAACACTTTTTAAAATAACCCTAATAAAATACAAAAGTCAAAGTCTGAAATGGAAATGGGTATCAAATAAAAATTTGGGTTAATTTTGCTTTGAATTATAAAATAAATATGATTGATAGAAATCCCCCCCATTTAGTGAAGGGGGCATCTCTAGGATTCATAATAAGTCAATAACATTGATCTAAATTTTAAAAGAAAGCTTATCAAAAAATGCAGCAATTAGGAGTCAAGTGTAATAAGTGCTTATAATCCCTACACTCTGGAAGGCCGAGGCAGGAGGATGAAAAGTTCAATTTAGCTAGGAAAAGAACTGGGGATGTACCTCAGTGCAAAGGCCCTGGGTTCAATCTCTAATACCACAAAAACAAGCAAAAAACAGCAATTAGAACCTTGGTACTGAAGAAATGAAACTTCTTTTTTTCAGACCAAAAAAAAAAGCCTTCTAGACCATCCCAATGCATCACTGTATAGTGACATTCAATGCTTTGCAGTAGAATATATTGCTTTCTTTTAAAATTTAGATCAATGTTATTGATTTACACTCAAGAGTGCTATAAGGTATATATTCAAAATTATAAACAATATACTTATAATATAAACAAAATTTTCCTTAAAGTGACTATTTCAGTTATTTGCAGAAAATTAGACTATAGAAACAGTGGTTTCTTGTCTCACCTCTCATCAAAAGTTACGTCCCAAGTAATTACTGCCATCATCCTCAGAGAGGACCAGAGATAAGTCATTGAGGAATTGTGGCTAAGGGCTGAGGGTGTGGCTTGGTGGTAGAGTGCTTAACTAGCATGTAGACGGCCCTGGGTTTGAACTCCAGCATGCTCATGCTTTGCAACACAGCTACAACCTCAAACACCTGACATCTGCCAGGCACAGTGATGCAGACCTACAATCCCAGCTGCTCAGGAAGCTGAGGTAGCAGGATGGCAAGTTTGAGGCCAGCCCAGGCAGCCTAGCAAGATACTATCTCCAAACAAAATAAAAAGGGCCGGGAATGTAGCTGAGTGGTAGAGTGCTTGCCTAGCATGTGTTGAAGTCCTGAGCTCAATCCATGGTATGGATTTCTTTCATGTGTCATCAAACACGCCCCAAAAGTAAAAGAAAATAAATAGAATTAATTATTTGCCATCAGAGTAGGAAAAGCTTTCTAGCCATATAAGGACATACTTTTTTTTTAAGTAGTTAATAGGTTTTATGTAATAAAATCTTTAAATTTCTGTAGATTAAAAATAAAAATCTGGGCTGGTGATGTAGCTCAGCGGCACTGCACCTGCCTGGCAAGCACAAGTCCCTGAGTTTAATTCCCAATACCCCAAAAACATAAAAATAAGCTAGGGCCGGGGATTTAGCTCAGTGGTTCCACCACCTGCCTCACAAGCTCAAGGTCCCAGATTCAATCCCCAGTACCAAAAAAAAAAAAAAAAAACTAAACAATGTTGAAACAAATATCATAAATTATTACTCATTCTATATCAGTAGTTCCAAAAAATCAATTTATAACTATCTTTCAATAGGAAAAGAGCAAAATACAATGAATCGGCAATCAAAAAAAAAAATACAAAGAGCCAATAAACATGGAAAAATAAATGAAATCTCATAATAAGCAAATATATTCAAAAATACATAATTTGTTACCTGGGAAAGAAGTGAAAATATTTTTTTCAATTATCAACTGCTTTCCTGAGCCCTCATATATTTTGCTGATGAGAACAGAAATTGTTTCCGTATTTGGAAATATGTAACATAAACCTTAACATTTTCTGGAAGTAACTCTACTTCTAGAAATTCACTCTACACAAATTACCATCAATGAAGGCAACACATAAACACATGCACACAAGCACACACACACACTTATGTATTAACCTATAAACAACACCTAAGTGCACCAAAATGTGGTATTGGTTAAATATTTTATTGCTATTTGTTTATATAATAAAATCACAGCAAACCACCTAAAATTATATGAAAAAATAATCGGAATATTACATGAACAAGGTCAGTAAACTACCTACACAGTGTGAGCCAATTTTTACTTTTATGTATATAGAAAAAAATAGAAACTGTAAATACAAAGCATTAACAGTAAATTTCTCTGAGTTGTAAAATTAAAAGCAATTTTTTTCCTTCTTTGCGTTTTACCACATTTTCCAAACTTTTCTTTTCTTTTTTCATGTTTCTGTTTTGTTTTACTTTGGGGTTTTTGGTTTATGGTTTGTTTTTGGTTGAGACATATTCTTGCTCTATACTTCAGGCTGGCCTGAACTCACTAAATAAATAAATAGCCCAACTCAATAGACCTCAAATGCATAATCCTCCTGCCTCAGCCTACTGAGTGCTGGGATTCCAGGCACATGCCACCACAGCTCATTTATTTTCCAAAATTTCTGTAACGACTACTTTTGTAGTCGGAAAACTTAATGGAAAGCTGGGGATGTAGCTCAGTGGTGGAACACCTGCCTATTGCACAAAAGGCTCTGGATTCAATTCCCAGCACTAGAATAAAGTTCATGGAAAATGTTTAGCAACTGTAAATCATTACGAAAAATTACATGCGGCCAAAAAAATCATCTTAATAATCTTTCAGAAGTTAAAAACTTCTGATTAGAAATACTAAAAAGGCAACCAAGCTCACAGCCTACTACTGGCTAGTCTGCAGGGCTTTATAAACTTCACCACTTCCTCTCCACTGCCATAAATGGAGGCCTGCCAGAGGCTGAATGCATTTCCCTTATTCACAGAAAACTGGGAATTTCCCCATCTGGGGATACCACATCTGAGAACCTGAAGATGTTAATACTGTATTTTAGTTCCATATCACAAGCAGTCATTCACTCAACAAATAGTCATCTAGAACTCAGTTACACTCTCTAATCCAGTCAGAAGCTTATTTCAGTCATATGTCTTATGAAATGTATGTGTGCCCTTCACAGTAGGAAACACTGAAGGAAAAAAATGTATTTTGGGGCCGGGGATTTAGCTCAGTGGTTCCGCCACCTGGCTCGCAAGCACAAGGACCCGAGTTCGATCCCCAGTACCCAAAAAACAAAACATGTATTTTGATGGAAGCTACCTGAAATGGATTTTAATAAAATGAATGACAGAACAATATTGCACAGTGGGAAACAGACCTGTTTCTTGAAGTATCCAATTGCATATTCATCTGCATATGTGAGGAAGTTCAGGATGTCATGTTTTATATGATATTCTTTCAAATGATTCATCAGGTGAGTTCCGTAGCCCTGTGCAGAAGTTAGTCAACAGATACATATGTTAGGATCGCTTCTTGGCCTTTTGGCTAAGATCAAGTGTAACAGATACATATGTTAGGTTCTGGAGAAAAGAAATTCCAACAAGCATGCCAGGAGTTTGTGTTTTGATAAATTTTACCAACTAGGACCTCTCATGAAGGAAATATAGTCTTGGGCCCAGGGATTTAGCTCAGTGGTTCCAGCACTTGCCTCACAAGCGCAAGGTCCCAAGTTCGATCCCCGGTACCAAAAAAAAAAAAAAAAAAAGTGGAAATACAGTCTTAACAACTTTTTAGACATTTCTAAACTTTGAAAATAAGCTACAAAACTAAAAACTTCAAAAATCCTTGGTTTAAGATAAAATCATCATTTGAAAATAGATGTTTCCAGTTCTTCACAAATAACACACCCAAGGCTATAGGCTGCTGGTTTAGTCCTAAAAATTATTTGCTGAATATTAATACAAAAGTGTATGGAATAAATGTTGATTATGAATTTCTGTTCAATCGTTCAAGTATTTCAGAACCAAAGATGAAAAGAGGTATAGAAATGAAAAGTATTAACTTTCATTAGTATATTTACTAATCCAAATGTTTGTTGTACACCACATTCAAAAATCCTTCTAAAAAATCACATCGCCACCTACACAGAATCTTTAACTTGGCCTTAAGGATTGAGAAACTCAGAATCTCTGAGTAAGTCAGAACATGCTAGGAAGTAAAAATAGTTAACCATGTTGAATAAATGAGTGGTTTGAAAAGGAAAAAAATACCCAAATACTGATTCTTTCAGTGACATGCAAAGCTTAGACAAAGAAATCTATAAATTTAATGTGACTGTTTCAGAGCTTGATAAAAAGAGATAAAAGTCAACCTAAACATCCAGAGATAAATATCTTCACATCTGAGAACTCAGTTCACAGGTACAATCTCACAGAATTGCAGCACCTCAAAGGATGTTTAGTAGTCATTTAGTTTAACTCCATATCCCACTGAAGCGGAAGTCCTTTGGTACCTTCATAAAAAGCTGGGAAGGAGCCAGGGATTTAGCTCAGTGGTTCCAGCGCTTGCCTTGAAAGTGCAAGGACCCTAGTTCAATCCCTGGTACCAAAAAAAATTTTTAAATAAAATGAAAAGCTGGGTAACATGCTGTGTCTCCCCAATGCAGGCCAATCCCTTGGTCCTGAGTTAGACCAATTTATTTTTAGGTACTATACAATCAAGAATTCCTTCCTAATGTTCACCTGAAATCTGGACCTGCATTTCTACTCATTAACCATAGTTTACTCTATTTTTTTTTTTTGGTACTGGGATCAAACTTGGGTCCTTGCGCTTGCGAGGCAGGCGGCAGAACCACTGAGCTAAATTCCCAGCCTTAGTTTACTCTTAAAAGGCTCATTTATGCTTTTAACAACTCTTTTCAAGCTCTTCAAAATTAGACTCACTTATGCTCATCAATCTTCACCGCCAAAGCCCCAAGCCAAGAGTCATCAAGGTTAAGGTCATTTCTTATATGATACCCCAGGAGACCCTTAACAACTTAATCACATTTTTTAAAGCTTTCTCCAATATAACAAGGCCTTCCTAAAGCTTAGGTCCTGGCCCAAGCCTAATTACAGTCAAGTGATGCTCTGTGCTATAAAGAGGAGGAAAGTATCAACTCCCTCTTCTAGGTTTTATTCTTCCACTGATATTACCCAAGGACACTTAAGCTTTTCCGAAACATCACAATTCTAAAACACTTTTTGAGTTTTAATAAAATTTGAATAAAAAGACAAATGGAATATCTCTCTGAGCAGAAGATGGTAAAATGAGGAAGATAAACATATAAACACATAATTACAGAACAGAGCTTCACGGTTGGATGTAGCAACTAGTTTCATGTGGCTACTGAGCAACTGAAATGTGACTATTCCAAGTTGAGATGTGTAGAAGTATAAATACACATACAACATGTAAACATTATTAACACTATAAACATTTTATACTTCTTACATATTGGTATGGCAATATTTTAGAGATATTAGGCTAAATAAAGAATATGAAATTAATTTCACTTCTTTTTACTCTTTGTAACAGATTTACTAGAAAATTTTAAATTACATATATGACTTGCATTTCAGTGTCCCATTATATTTCTACTGTGTGTCATTGATACAGAGGAGTGTATTCGTACTTACACTACTGAAAAGGCCAGGCATGGCAGCATACACCTGGGAGACTAAGGCAGGTGGATCACAAGTTTAACCCTTGCCTTAAAATAAAAGACGCCAAGGGGCCGGAGATTTAGCTCAGTGGCAACGCACTGCCTCATAAGCACAAGGTCCTGAGTTTGATTCCCGGTACCCCAAAAAACTTTTTAAAATAAATAAATAAAATAAAAAGGGCTGGGGATGTAGCTCAGTGGAAAAGGCCCTTGTTTCAAACCCATAAAAGTATGTGGAAACTCCACGTGTGACCTCTATCAAGCAGCCTCTGGTCTCATCCAGCATCACCTAAGGACTCAGTATTTTGTCACATTCCCTGTGAAGTATTCACAGGAATTGGTGTATAAGCTGGATTCTCCAAGATGACTGATTTTAGTAAACATTTAAGATCTCGACTTAAAAATTCACTGCTTTTACAAACATAAACTACTGTAATTGGGACCCATTCAGTTTTACTCTATGTTGGAACAGAACCTGATGTTGTTTAGTGCTGAGTTGGCAAGGCTCAATAATCTTTATCTCAGACGCCATGCAGATAAAAATGTCCATGTCTAGGGTACTACATGTCTCAGGAGTTATGCAGTAATCATTAAGGAATGACACAGGACAGTGAAAAGACCAGGCAATTAATGGAAAAACTGTACATAACTTCCATCCATTCATCCATTCTATTCAGTTTTGAAAGACTAATCTTTGTTTTCTAAAACTGCACTATCAAGTCAATTACTTTTGTAAAAAAGTAATTTTTTGCCTAGTTTTTCTACTTGAGTTTGTGATGTTTGGCCACTTTCGGTCAAATCTTTAGAAAATTACATGGTTGAGGGGAAAAAAACAAACTGCCTTTCTGGGAAGTAATAAGACAAAGTATCCAATTCATACTATAAGTACCTTCAGTTTGCCTGTGGTATTCCTACCAGTGTCCAAGGCAACCTTAACCAACCTTTCCAAACAGGGTACTTGGTACAGCTACCTCTGCAAACAAAAATTGTGCAGTCTTTCTGAAATTACAAACAAAAATTTATTTTCCAAGTCTTCTTTATGAAAAGTTAAGGGAAAATTTTTTTACCTGTAAGGTCCTAAACTCAAGACATTTAAAAACATCTGGATACCTGGACATTTCTCTCACTTTGGTTGGGGGACGTGACAAAGACAACAATAGCACCACCTAAAGATGCACTGTCAGAAATCCTTGAGAAAAGACCAGAGAACAGTTTCCGGTAAATTTGCATCTTCCTTTCCCCAGTCAGGATGATGAATGTGAGACTAGTGAATTGTATTTGCCCTTTGATGTTTAGTACTTGGAGTCAAAGACAAAGAGCTCCCCTTGTGCTTTGTGACAATAAATACATCACAGTGCTACAACTGGCTCTGAGACCAGAGAGCAAAGCTATTAATGAAAGCCAAAGTACCAACAGCACAGACTGCAGCCCTCAAGCAGAGGATGATTCCCTCCCGTGACTCATTTTTGGGTTTTGCAAATGAGAAGAAGGAATCAACAAGGTCCTTAGAGCTGCACTGTCCAATACAGGCTGATCAAGCACTTGAAGTGTGGCTAAGGCTGGTCGGTCCAAGCTGAGCTGAGCTGTGAGTATAAAATACACAGCTGATTTTAAAGACTTAGTACAAAACAAAGAATGTAAATGGTAACTTGGCTCTGTGGTGCACACCTGTAACCCAAGAACTTTGGGAGGCTGAAGCAGGAGGATTGCAAGTTCAAGCCCAGCCTGGGCAACTCAGCAGCTTAGTGAGGTTCTGACTCAAAATAAAAAATAAAAAAGGCTGAGAACATATGAAGCTCAGCGCAAAAGCTCTGAGTTCAATTTTTTAAAAAAAAGAATAATGTAAATAGTCTCAATAATTCTTTGTGACAGTGACACTGAATAGTAGGTAAAATAAAATATATTTTAAAATTAGCTAGGTGTGGTGGTGCCCGCCTATAAGCCCAGCACTTGAGAGGCTGAAAAAGGAGGATCACTGAGAATTTGAGGCCATCCTGGGCTACACAGTAAGGCCCGATTTAAAAAAATTAAAAAGAAAAAGAATTAACCTTACCTGTTTCTACTTGCTTTTTTAAAAATGTAGCTAGCTACTGGGGCACTGAAAAATACTTTGGTGCCTAGTATCTGCAGGTCATACTTCTAAGGGATAACATCACCTAGACCTTACAATAATCTTTCTTAGCAGCCACCTAATAAAATCTGCTTATGTTTCTACCACCTACCATACATTTTTGCATGATACTCTATGGGGCTCCCTAAATAAGGATACATTTTCTAGTTCCCTTTTCCTAAGAGCAGCAGGGAAGAACACAACAAAGTCTAGATGAGAGCTCTTTCTGCTAAATGGCAGACTAACTAGTCAGCCAGAATAACTGAAATATCAAAAAACATAGCCACAGTTCCCAGGGAGAAAGGGAATTAAACCAAGAACAATTTGAGAAGTTAGCAATATGAATGACAAGGGAAAAGGAAGGGAAGAAGGGAGGGAGGGAGGGAAGAGACAGGATGTTGGGGGAGGGAGAAAAGGAAAGGGGAGGAGGAGGGAAGAGGGGAAGAGGAAGGGGAAGGAGGGAGGAGGGAAGGCAGCCACTAACACATCCCAAACATTACATGAATGCTTCCTAAACATCCCATTTTTCACGACCTCCCTTAAAGAATTTCTTTAGGGGGCCAGGGATTTAGCTCAGTGGTTTTGTCGCCTGCTATGCAAGCGCAAGGACCCAAGTTCGATCACCCGTACCAAAAAAAAAGAATTTCTTTAGTCCCTGTCCCCCTTTAGGGACTAGGTCATAAGAATCCTTCTGAAGTGTAAGCTGCATAAATCATCTTCCTAATCTACATCAACCACATCCTTTCTGGTGGTTCAGTGTTGCCAAGTGTGTGTGTGCATGACTGTGTGTGTAAACTAATAAGACTAAGACTGACTTTCAAGCATCTTTTCATTTGCTATAGACTACGCTTCAGATCCATATTGGATTGCATAACGTCCCTGTACTTTGCCCCAGTGTCCAACAAATCCTGGATACAACCCTCCTTGTTGGTATATGGAACAGTTATCCTCCTCAGTTACACACATACACTCACAGTGAGAGGACTCTTTCTCAGACAGTCCTGAACTCCACATGGAACATTCTCTGGACATGGCAGAGAGGTCTTCTCAAGCTCAGCAGCTTTAGTGAGAAGACCCAAGTTCTGCTTTTATTCTAAGACCTTAGGGTTCCCTTACCTTGACTTGCTCATTTGAGGTGACAGCACAGAAAACAATCTCTGTGAATCCTTGGGATGGGAACATTCGGAAACAGATACCACCAATGACACGGCCATCTTTAATTAAAGCAAGAGTTTTGTGTTTCCTGAAAGAGTAAAATTATGTCAAAATGTTATCTACCTTTGTTGTATAAGTATACCTTTGGGGGGGCCAGGGATTTAGCTCAGTGGTTCTGGCGCCTGCCTCATAAGCACAAGGTCCAGAGTTTGATCCCTGGTACCAAAAAAAAAAAGTATACCTTTGGGAGTATTCCTTAGTAACTAACCAATAAAAACTTTCTTCATCTATGGGCTGGGGATTTAGCTCAGTGGTTCCAGTGCCTGCCTCGCAAGCGCAAGATTCTGAGTTCGATCCCCAGTACCAAAAAAAAAAATCTGGGTCGGGGATTTAGCTCAGTGGTTTTGCCGCCTGCTGCACAAGCGCAAGGACCTGAGTTTAATCCTCGGTACAAAAAAAAAAACAACAACTTTCTTCATCTAGTCATCCTTTCACCCAGACCCGCTACAGCAGGACAGAGCCTCATCAGACCTCCCATCACAACAAACCACAAGTCCCCTATGAAGTGTCTGAACGCTACAAACACATAGTATGTGCAGAGGAGATCTGGAACTAGTACACCCAATACCCAGAAACTGAAGGTTGGGGTCAGGGGAAGAGCACAAAGTCATGGTCAAATGTGTCATACATTCCTGAAGAGTTTATTCTTACTCAAAAATATTATGAAAAAGAATACAAATTCACATGTACCACTTCCCAAACCCTGCATTAAGGAATCCTATCAGACCTTCTCTCTATAATAAGTGTCCCTCTGAACTGTCATGTGTGTGGATTACAGCTTTCACAGCATGCTGGGCCATATATGTTTAAATAATTCAATTAAAGGAGTTTAGTTTCATATTGTTAATTTTTTTTTAAAGCAATGAATTTTACCAAGTTAACAGTTCTTATATCCCAATAATTTTCCCAGTTTTTACAGACCTGGGCAACAAATACCAAAACCCAGAATGTTTTTGACTATGAAAAAACTGAGATTATTTTCTTGGTGTTTATATTCTCTCACTGCTATAATGAAGGCAGTGCAGGACAGTCACCAGCGATTCAAAATATAAAGCCTTGCTATTAACAACAACATTTACGAATGGATGGAAAATTAGTAATTTTTGGCATGGAAATTGTCTTTCTGCATAGTTCTGTATCCACAACTTGACAGGAAGCAACAGGATTTGACAAGAGCCTACGACTGACTTTAAGAAGGAAGAGCCAAGCTCAGCTTACGGGTCAAAGACAAGCCGTGTGATGTACTCTTTGGGCATTCGGGGCAGCTGATGGGAGAACACGTTCTGAAGGCCGACGAGCCACATCAAGATCTTCTTGTTTGGTTTCTGGTTCAGGGAATTGCCAACCACATGAAACTCAGTCACACCCCTGCGCTCCTCCAGCCTCGCCGCCTCATCCCTGGCTGAATGTGCTGACAGAAAATTTGTCTGGGAAGCAAGAAATAGGAAAATTTATGCAGAGCTATTCTTTTAAGACAATAGGATGGGACAAATCAAAGCTTGTCTTCTTTGTTCCAATGAGATATAAGTTTAAAGGTACGTATGGCACAAGCACACACACAAGTTAGGAAGACAAAACAGAAAAAGTAGGTAAACACTGTGAGAAATCTAAGTACTACATGTGTTATGGATGAGGCATCAACAAACTTTGCTGTAAAGGGCCAGACAGAAAATATTTTAGGTGCTTTGAGCCACAAGGTCTTTATCTTAAACTTTTCTTGCTACTGTAGTGCAAAAGCACTGGTCAATATATGTTAAACAATAGATGCAGTAGTATTCCCATAAAAATTATTTTTTAAAAAAGGTTGAGGGGCCAGGGATTTAGCTCAGTGGTTCCACCGCCTGCCTCGCAAGCGCAAGGTCCCAGGTTCGATCCCTGGTACCAAAAGAAAAAAAAAAAAAAAGGTTGAGAAAGAAAGTCAGGTTTGGTCTGTGGGCCATCAGTTTGCCAACCCCTTGCTTTAAAAAATCTCATCCAGGGCAGGGATTTAGCTCATTGGTTCCGCTGCCTGCCTTCCAACCACAAGGTCCCAGGTTCAATCCCTGGTACCAAAAAAAAAAAAAAATCATCCAGCTGAGCTTACAAGATCCTTGGGGTGACAGATTACTAAACACTCAGTACAAGTGAAAGAGTGTCAGTCACGTTTATATTCTTAGTACCTCTTTTTTGAGGACAGTTTTCTTTCTCAAGGAGTATCTGTCAACCCACACTTAACCATGTTCCAATCTTACTGAATCCACCCACTGGCGTGCAGGTACACATTCAACTACAGCTCTTCAGGGAAGAAAAGGCCTAACTGGTAGCACTTGCTGATTCCACTGGTCTACAGCTGGCTGTCTGGGTGACCAGGTGCCCTGTGTTCAATTTCAAGCTTCCACGGAATTTAACAACCAGCTCTAAAAAATCCTGAAAATTTAACGGTTTTCTTGGGCATATCAACATAAGCCAGCTCCATCATACTAAATCCATCTAACAAATGTTGAAATGCTTGAATGCTGCCCCACTTTACAGCTGAAAAACTAAGCTCAGCTGAACTGTGAAGTTAACAAATCCCTGAAACCCTAGTATATACAATGAACTACATGGTTTTAAATCCCCCAAGACTGGACATCTAGAAGGAGCTGTAAAGAATAACTTTATGAGATCTATTACAACATTCCACTTCTCTGAATTAGCCTCAACATTATAAGGAAACATGGCAAAGCAAAAACTAATACTTTAATGTATTAATGTAGTACAGCTACACTAAAAAGATACAAAGTTGTTTATAAAATAGTATTTAAGCCATTTCTTATCTGAAAGCTTTAAGAAATGTCTTAAACCATCTTTTCCCTGGACGCAACACAATGAGATGACAGACGTACTTTTACCAAAAACACTGTATTTGGATCTACCTAGTCACTTGTAAGCAATCAGACAAAATAAATAGAAGGACAATATGTAAAACTAGTGACCAAGACTCATCAACAACGACAGCACTGCAAAAAGAGGCTAGAGGACTGTTTTAGATTAACGTAGACAAGAAATAAAAACTAGATGTAGTGCTTGATCCCCAACTGATCCTTCAACTGTAAGTATAAAAGACCTAGCTTGGATATGTGGGGAATTAGGACATGGCCTATCCAGTAGGCCAGAGATCAGAAAATTTCTCATGATAGGTCAGATAATAAATACCTTAGGTTTGTGAGCCACACATTCCCTTTCTCAACCATTCAAATCTGCTTTGTAGTGTGTACAGGCAACCACAGATAATGTTTCAATAAAAATTTATTTACAAAAAATAGTAGACCAGATCTTGCCTGTAGGCTAACATTTGTCAACCTGGCACTAGCCTATTATGATACATAATAATGGTTAAAAAGGTTAGAGGTGATGTGCTACAACGTCTGTTTTGAACTCTGAAATGATTTCAAATGGCTCACAATAGACAGAAAAAGACAGACAGGAAAATCAAAGGCAACTGCTGAATCTAGAGAAGTCTATGGCTTTTAATTATAGAATTTTTGACACAGTTATGGGGGTTTGAAATTCTTCAAGATGAAAAGTTTAATTGTGTGAGATCGTTAGAATGTGGCCCTCTGATGTGATACTCAGCAAGGGAGTCACCTCTGGATTCCCCCTCATGCACTCCCGACCTTGACCACCAGGTTCACTGTAAAGCTGGGTAGTACACTAACTCTCAGCACTCCCTCCCCCATTTCTGAGAGCAGGAGTGGAGACAGAAGGGGTCCACCCACTGACCACCTGGTTTACACTTCTGACCTCTGGTCCAAGCATCGAGGCAGGGTCTGTGATAGTTGACATGACCTCACTGATCAATTCCATAGGAATATCCCCCATAACTCGGGGTCTCTTGGCCTCCTCCAGAACATGAGAATCATTCATTTTCCTCTTTTCTCCTACAGGGATCAAAGTAAAAGACAAACAATGAGTGATCTTAAACAGAAAACAGAAAGTGCATGCCAACTACTCCAACTAGTTATCTAGATACACTTTGAATATTTCCTAGTTTCTTTGATAACTGTTTGACTTGATATGTAAGCTATTAAACCACACGCTTCTTCACTGCAGATGCAAAGGGTGATTTCCGTTATTACTGTTTAGTAATTCTAACACAGACCCTTTGTAGTCAGAGAATATGGTCCACGTGATACCAAAAGGTCAACAATTTTGGAGACCTGCTTTACAGCCTAGAATAAGGCCAATTTAAATAAAAAATGTTCAGTGTCCTCATGAAAAGAATATGTACTTTCCACTTTTGAAGAGTAATCTCTATAAATCTACGAGCTCAAGCTTGTTGATTATGATTTTAGGGCATCTAGGTCCTTATTAACATTAATATTTTTATCTCAATATTTTTTGACTGCTTGATCTATGAATTACTTAAAAATGTTTGTTCAAACCTTCAACTGTTTTTGGTTTTGTTTTTTTGGCACAGGGAACAAACTCGGGACCTTGCACTTACAAGGCAGGCGGCGGCACCACTGAGCTAATTCCCCGGCCCTTCAATTGTTGATTATTTCTCCTTGGAGTTATGTTATTTCCTCCCACCCCACATATACATACACAAACATGTAGGTATCCATATGTATGTGGCACATGCATGCATATTTTATATATATATAATATATATACATACACTTTCACATGTATTTGATATACTACTGAATTGTTTTAAACAATTAAAATGATGAATTTAACTTTTTCCTTATAAAATGCACACTTGATCATTCATCATGGTGTTTTTTGTTTGTTGGTGGTTTTTATTTTGTTTTGTTTTGTTTGCTTTCAAACGATACCTCACAAAGCCTGTAGGGCCTCTGGCCTATGCAGCAGGTACAATCTCAACATGCCACATGCTTGAAAGGCCATGCAAAGTCAGAAAGAACTTTCTCCCACTTTCTTCATGAGAATACATCATGGCTTTTTAGCCTTCCTACTCTCATACTTGGTTTTTCTAGTTTTTTAACTTTCATAACATATATTTGTTTTTATAATTTAAAATTTTTAAACTTTCAGATGATCAAATCTAATTCATTCCTCGGGTGTGGACCCCCTGAGATTCTTCCATATAATGTTCTTACTATTCTTAGGTTTAAAACAACAAAAGAAAGGAAGAGTAAGCTGGCCATGGAGGTACATGCCAGTAATCCCAGCACTCAGGAGGCTAAGGCGAGAGGATTGCAAGTTTGAGACCACCATGGGCTACACAGCAAGTTCAAGGCCAGCCTGGACTATACAACAAAACCCTTTCAATGAATGAATGAAGGATAATATAACAACTTGTATACAGAAGATGCTTCCATAACTATTATGTATTACTTACTAAATGGCTTTGGCTCAGTTGTGTCTACATAACATTTGTTGTTTTTGGAAGTAAGAATATTTTCAAACATTTGGTCAACAAGTCTTCAAATTCCCTGATTCACTAAGAGTAATGTTGCCAAGTTATTTATTTCATAGCTGAGGTTTATACCTCTCATTCCCCAAGCCCAAGAGACGAATAGTACTTTAAGAAAGCATCTCAGGCTATATGCAAGCTCATTAGCAAAGAGATTCTTCACTTATTAGTAGTGCCTGCCTTAGAAGTGGGAGAAAGAATAGTGGTACATGCTAAATATTTGGTACTTCATGTTAAGTTCCTCTTCTCTCCCTTTTTCATGATACTTCTTTATTTCAAAATTTAGTCATAGCCAAGATTCGTTTGGTGTCAAGTCTGTGGACAGAAATGTAACCTTCAAAGTGTTCCATAACTGTAAAACACTTCAAGGATTTAAAAGATGCTTTTACCTATGTGGCAAAATTCATTACCCTCCTGCTATCCACACTCTTTGCCAGGTGACTTTGCAGTTTCTCCTACAAATGGAATAGACTACATCTCTCCACTTCTATATCCTTCTGACTCTGAGCTCAACCATGTGACTTGCTCTGGATGACAGAATGCAATAGAAGTGATTGTTTAACAGTTCTGAGTTTCATACTTCTGCTCACTCTCTGGTGTTTCTGCCCTCAGCACAAGAAGGACATGTACTGCACAGCCCAACAGTCCCAAGAGGACGATGAGAAATATGTGGAAGAGAGTTGTTTCCACCTAAGTACCAACCCACATCCAGAACAGAGGCCTCAGGCAATGTGCAGATGCATAACTGAGTCACGCCACAACTGGGTGAGGCAGCTGAAATCTGTCAACAACCAGACACCACATCAAATGAATGACCTGTGATAGTAAGTCTTTATGGTTTTCCAGACTGCATTTAAGATCAGTGTGTTATTCAGAAATAAACAACCAATCCAGCCCAAACCCTGATACGCTTTCCAGCCAGCCAGCCATTCAAACTCTGGCCATGCACAATGTGTACTGGGTCTAAGGCTACCTCAGTCATTTTACAGAGAATGGAGCTCCTAAGGCAAGTCACAGCTCTCCCTTACCCCATTTCAGAGCTCACCTGGGTTTGCCTCAAGCCCACAAGAGGCTTTGCAGGCAGGACTGGTGCTGCCTCCATTCGGCTGCTCAAGGGAAGATGAATTTGAATTGTATGAAACTGCCCCAGCCACAGGAGGCGGACTGATAACTGCCCCAGGAAAAAGAAAAGCAGGTATTAGATGACTCCTTTCTAGGCAATATTTGTAGGCAAATACACGTGAGGCCATCCTATTACTGCCTAACACTACAAAAACTCTTGAAAATAAAAACCACAGGGCCTCAAGATAATAAAGACAGTAATGAGCCAGGCATGGTGGTACACATCTGTAATCCCAGCACTCTGGGAGGCTGAAGCAGGAAGACTGCAAGTTTGAGTCCAGCCTGGGCAACTTAGCAAGACCTTGCTTCAAAATAAAAGTAAAAATGGGGTAGGAGGAGTGATGAGGTTGTAGCTCATTTGGGAGGTTTAGATTCAGTACTACCAAAGGGGGCGGGGAGACAATCATGGATTATAACTCACTGAAAAGAACAGATACCTGAAATAAAAGGCATGAATAAATAAATGAAAAGAGAAATGTTTTTATACACAAAATGTCAACAAATAAGGAAAGTTAGGAAAAAAATCACCATCTGGCAGCCATCAGATAACAGGCTGAGGGTCATGTGTGAAGCTTAAACCTTGAGTATAATTTTGATGAAGGCAGGGTATTCGCAGTCTGAAGGACCTCTCCACAAAAGTAATTACAGAGCCAGGGATTTAGCTCAGTGGTACCACACCTGCCTCACAAGCACAAGGTTCTGGGTTCAATCCCAGGTACCAAAAACAACCAAACCAAACAAAAAGAATCATAAAAGGATTAGTGGTGATTACAAAAGGAAAAGTGCTGATACTACAATGGAAGACACCCAGGGACACCACCTTAACCAAATAACCCAAGACAGCATTGATGTGACAGGCTCAAAGCACATACCTCTTGAGGATGTGAAAAACATGCAATCTGAAGGGTGTAATATACAGAGATATAGAAAGAGGAAGAAAGAGAACCATGCGTGGCTCATGTCTCTAATTCCAACTACTCAGGAGTCTGAGGCAGGAAGACAGCAAGTTTAAGGCTGGCCTGAAAAATTTAGAGACCCTGTCTCAAAATAAAATAAAGAGATCCGCCACCTGCCTCGCAAGCACAAGGTCCTGAGTTCAATCCCCCGTACCAAAAAACTTTAAAAAATAAAATAGAGAGAGACTACTGTGGCTTTCCTCACGGTATCTTCCCCTACATCTTCCTAGGTGTACTTTTATCTTGCTTTTTCCTCTTTTACTCAGCCCAAGATACTCTGCAGAGCAAGTTTCTCCCCACCCACCCCCACCCTGTACCAGGAATTGAACTCAGAACTTTGCCCTTGCCAGGCAGGTGTGGCTCCACGGAGCTACATTCCCTGGCCCTTCTCCTTTACTCTTCACATTTACTTTTTCAAATAAACTTTGCCACTGCTAAAAAATAAATTAAAAGTAAAAATAAAATAAAAAGGGCTGGGGTGGTAGGGTACTTGTCTGGTTTACATGAGGCCCTGGGTTGGATCCACAAAACCATCCCCCAAAAAAACAGAGAAAGAAAGAGACAGAAAAGGGGTGGGGGTAGGACCAAAAAAATAAGTATGGCAAAACGTCACTGTTAGTTTCATAACACCAGTCACAGGCAGAACATAGCACAGCAGTGCAGATACTCAAAGAGAATGCTCACAGAAGTTTCGATGCAGCCACAATTCAGTATGCAGAGAACATTTCCAGAAGTCAAGACAGTAATAGACTCAGTAAACTAAGCAACAGCGAGATACCAACCCTCAGCGCTGTAACTGAATAGCAATTGGTACATAAAGAATCAGAATAAAGCCAGGTATCATGGCACATTCCCATAGTCCGAGCTACTCAGTAAGCTGAGGCAGGACAATCACTTGAGCCCAGGAGTTCATGACCAATCAGGGTAACATAGCAAGACTCCAATCTCAAAAAAGGAAATAATTAGAATATACTAGAGTACCAGACTGTATATTTTTTTCCTTCCAGTATTCAGATCTTCTGAATTTCAAAGCTCACTGGAATGATTCTGAACAAAGAGGAAGCTCTGGTGATGACAAAGACATCTGAGTACCTTGCAAAAGTTTAGAGCCATCATTATGAATGTCATTTATTACAGGTGCATGGATGTGCAGACATGGCAATTAAGTAGATGATTACACTCCTCTCTCCTGAAGAGAACACACTGCAATTATGGCAGATCAAGAGAAGACAGCCTGCTTCTGACAGCTTCAGGTAATACTAAATGTATGATCCAGCTTCAATGGGGATAGCCTTAGCCACAGGAAGATACATGAAGTTTCCATTGAGCCAAAGACAATCTCTGCCTTCTCCATGCTACTCCACAGAAACAGCATTAGCTACACCTTGAGCAAATTAGGGGCTTTGGAGCAGGCACAGGTCAAAGGCACTTTTCACACAGAGAGAAATCCTCTCTAGAGACACTCCACAAGAACACTAAGTTGATCCTGCTGAACAGGATCCCTGTTTTGGTGTTCCCCTGCCTGAAGAAGGAAAGTGTGTTCTTCACTCATTCCCTCCACAAGTTTCTGCAGCACACTTAAGACGGTGCAAGACCATGCGCTGTCAGAACTCCAGCTCCTAACACAGTGTAGAAGTTAGGAATTCAACAGCCCTACGTGTGAAACCCACTTCAATCTCTTACAAGCACTAACCTGGGGCAACTTGTTGCCCCCCTCTAAGTTCCTGTTTCTTTAACCATGTGAAACAGATAATAATTCTAGTTTCCCAGGGCTTGTGAAAAAGAAGGCACTTAATAATAATGTCTATCACCACCACCACCACCACCACCACCACCACCACCACCACCACCACCACCACCATCATCATCATCATCATCATCATCATCATCATCATCGCAGCAAAACGGGCCTCTGACCTTTAAAGAGCTGTATTCATAGCACAGAAAAATATCACAGAAAAAAATGGGATTAGGATAGCATGAGTCAAGCATTACTGGATATAGTAGTTCTCAAATGTTGCTGCATTTCACCATGGCCTGGGGAGCTTCTAAATGCCCCAAAAGTCAAGGCATACCAAAGGCCACAAACAGCATACTCTCTCAGGATGGCACTCAGAATTCAGTATACTTCAAAACTCCACAGCCGTGATTAAGGTTCTACAAATGTATGGAAGAAAGGAGAAATATCCTTGCTAGAGGACACAGAAGAAATTAGGAAATTAGCCTCTGTTTGCAGCAGAGACGCCAACTCAGAGTTAGCTGAATGAGGACAAAGACAAAGTAACTAAGATGGAACAGAGCAATGCAGAGCACACGTCCAGTCACCACAGAGAATACGTCCACCGAACACCAACAGCTCAGGCCACCAGGCAGCCTGTACCCTGTAAAGACAGGCCTCGGCACACTACAGGTCTTGACCAGAGAAGCATGAAATTATCACCTAAGACGAAACATAAAAGGTCACAAGAAATGTTTTTGAGATGATTTGTAACAAGAATTCAAACAAACAAATTTTTGGTCCAAATCAAAATACCCAATCTCCTATGTACTCTATAAGGATTAAATTTGTTGTTTTGTTTTGTTTTTTTAAGACAGGGTCTTGCTATGTAATTCAGACTGGCCTTGACCTCACTATGTAGCCCAGGTTGGCCTCAAACTCACAGAAGTCCTCCTGCCTGCTTCAGCTTCCTAAGTGCTGGGATTATAGGACTACACCACCACCCCCGGATAAAAAAATGTTTTTTAAACCACCTTTTAAAATGCATTTTGCTGACTGAAAGTCCCTAAAAAGGCTAAATACTATATGATTCCTTTTATATGACAATTCTGGAAAAGATAAAACTAAGAGCAAAAACAGGTCAGTGGTTGCCAGGGCAGGGGACAGGATAACGAAAGCACTACAAAGGGCGAAGTGGTAGCTTTTCTCACCACTGAGACAAAATACCCAACACTCACAACTTAAGGAGAGGTTTATTTTGACTCATGTTTTTAGTCCATAGTTGGCTGGCTCCCAAGCAGGAAAGGCATGGTGGAAGGCCCTGGGCAGAAGACAGCTGCTCATGGCATGGCCACTGGGAAGAAGAAAGAAGAAAGGAGCTGGCAAGGGAGATGAGCCCTTCCAGGCCACACCCTAGTGACTTGCCTGTTACACCGAGGCCCCATCACCTAACAGCAAGTCAGCTATAAGCCCCCATAATCCAATCACCTTCCAAAAGCCCTGCCTATGAGCACATGAGGCTCTTGGGGGACATCTAGATATAAACTGTAATACTCCACCCCTGCTCCCAAAAGACTCCCTTTATGCAAAACCCATTTAGTCTGTCTCTAAGAGTTGCTAAAGTCCTAACAGCTTGAGCACTGCTGAAGAGTCCAAGTCCAAAGCCTGCTCTGAGAATTAAGGCAAACTCGTACTAACTGTAACCCCTTGAAAACAATAAAGGCATTAAACACTGATGACATACAAGGGCACAGGATAAACACTCCCATTCCAAAAGGAAGAAACGTGGGACAGAAACCAATGGGAAGAAAGCAAGACTGAAACCCAGAAGGGCAAACATTAAATCCTGTAGCTCCATGTCCAGCCCCCAGGAGCAAGTTGTGGCCATGAGAAGGGAACTCCAAAGGGCTTGAGTGGTCCTGCCCCCATGACACTGCTGGTGGTTGCAGCCCTCATGGATACTCTCCTGGGCTGGGCTGGCTTTACTCATTCCTTGTGGCTTCTCTAAGATGTTGCACGTTTCTGGCTTTTCCCATGTTCTGGGGTCTCTACTATACTTTGCCTTCATTTTCACAGCTTCAACGCTGCTCTCTCAAAGGTGCACTGCTCTCTCAGTAGCACACAGGCTGGCCTCCCAGGTCTTCATCTGAAATCTGAGTGAAACCCTCCCAGATCCCACAACACTTGCATTCTGTGTGCGTGTAAGACCAGCATAAGGTCTGCCATCAGCTGGAGAAGCAGCCTCTTGGGTGATGGCTCCAGAGGCCTCCAAATGCCTGGAGAGTTGAGCACTGTGAACTGAATCCAGGGAACAAACTCTCTAGGCAGCAATTCTCAAGCATGGTGCCCTGGAGCTCTCTTCTCCAAACGAGTCTTTCACTTTTGCAATTTTGAACCTGTGAAGGGTGGGGCCTTGCTGATTCCTAACATGCTCTTAAGCCATTTTTCCTATTGCCCCAATCCAAAATACTTGGCTTCTTTTTAATGTTAATCCTTTCAGCAACCAAGGTCTGCTTTGCTCAGTCTTTGCAAACTCTTCCTGTCAAAACTGAAAATTTTTTTAGACAGGACCTTGGTATGTATTTCAGACTACTCTTGAGCTTATTATGGAGCCTAGGCTAGCCTCAAACTCATGATATTCTCTTGCCTCAGCTTCCCAAGTGCTGGGATAGCAGGCATTTAGTTTTCAGTGAAAACTGAACTTTTTGTTACTGATTTTCACTACAAGACTCACTACAAGCCTCAACAGTATCCATGCCACAGCTCCAACATTAGGCTGCCTTGAAATTTCCTCTACTGGATTAACTTGTCCACTGCCTTTAAATCTCAGTTTCCTACAAAGTCTCAGGACATGAGTAAAATGTTGACAAGTTTTCTGCCAAAGCATAATACACACGGTGTCAAAGCAAACTGTCAATGGAGTCCTTATTCCCAACTGAAATCTCCTGAGCCTGGTCTTTACCATCTATCTTTTTATCAGCATTCTGGTCTTCTGAGCTCCAACCAGAATCTTCTATCAAGCTTAGCTTACAGCATCCTAGGGCTGCTTCTCCAGCTGGCATCCCCCATACCTTTCCAAACTGCTCCCAAGAACCACTTCTAAAGGTTCCTGAACCACATAGCTGGGTAACATCACAGCACTGATCCCACTTCTCTGGTATACCAAAAATCTGTATTAGTCACTTTTGTTATAAACTGGGACAAAATATCCAACACCCACAACTTAACAGAGAGGTTTATTTTGGCTCACATGTTTAGTCCATAGTTGGCTGGCTCTCAAGCAGGAAAGGCATGGCGGAAGGTCCTGGGTGGAAGAGAGCTGCTCATGGCATGGCCACCAGGAAGAAAAGAGAAAGGGGAGGAGCCAGAGAGGTAGATAAACCCTTCCAGGCCACACCCTAAATGACCTGCCTCTTCCAACCAGGCACTACTACCTAAGAGCAAGCCAGCTGTAAGCTCCCATAATCAAATCACCTTCCAAAAGCACATGAGACTCTTGGGGAACACCTAAATATAAACCATAACAAAGAGGCACAGAGAAATTTGTCTACAGTAACACAACTGGTCCACATATTTTTTTTTGGGTACCAGGGATTGAACATGGGACCTTGCGCTTGTGAGGCAGGCAGCGGAACCACTGAGTTAAATCCCCAGCCCCTAGCTGGTCCACATTTTGACGGTACTGATGGTTACCCAATTGGTTTGTCAAAAACTCACAGTGCACTAAAAAAGGATGAACTTCACTGTATGTAAATTATACCTTTTTGTTTTACTGTATATAAATTATACCTCCATACTTTTTTTTTTTTTTTTGGTACCAGGGATCAAACTCGGGTCCTTGCGCTTGCACAGCAGGCAGCAAAACCACTGAGCTAAATCCCCAGCTCTCTCCATACTTTTTTAAAGAAATAAAATTAACTTTGTTGGAGGAGGTGATATTCACAAGTTTCGGTATTAACACTGAACAGAAATCAGTATGGAGATTTCTCAAAAAACTAAAACGAGAAATTCCATTTGACCCCCATACTCCCCTTCCAGGTATCTTCCTCAAAGAGTTAAGACATCATATTACAGTGATACATGCATATCCATGTTTATAACAGCACAATTCATAAAAGCTACATCTTGGAAGTAACCAATATGTCCATCAACAGACAAATGGATAAAGAAAGAGAAACCTGAGTCATCTGTAGGAAAATGGATGCACCTTGAGACCATAATGTTAACTAGAATAAATGAGACACACAAGCTTAAATATTTCATGGTTTCTCTTATCTGAGAAACCCAAATTGTACGTAAGGAGCAAAATAAAAGATAACAAGAAATAGGGAGATAGATCTTTCTCAAGTGGAAAAGGGAACAAGAGATAGAGGGAGAGAGGTGAGGTAGGAGGCAAAGGGGATGAAAAAAGGAATTGAGATATGTTATGTACTGATTCCATACAAGGAATATAAATAAACATTATGTACTGCAAACATATGCTAATAAAAATATAAAAAATAAAAATTCAGTATCCTGTCTTTCCCCACAGCCAGATATAAATTGCTGCTTTGGCATTTTTAACTAAACATCCCCACTGAGTCTTCCTAAAGTTAAAGACAGCGATTCAGATTCTCTTTCTGGGATTACTATGACTCCAAAAGGTATGTCTCTCTCTTTTTCATAAAATCTCAACTGACACTGCTAGATGGCCCAAGACAATGACAGAGATCCCAAGACTCCAGGCCAAGGCATTTCATATCCTGAGTCTCAGGACCACCCTCTTCCACTCATATCCAACCCTGTCATTGGCAGTAAGTTGATGCATAACACAGACAACATACATGCAGAAGCCAGACTGAGACTTGATTCCTGGACATATCAAGCCATTGACTGTGACTATAAAGCATCTTTAAAAAGACCCAGTATTTGACTGCAGAGCTGGCACATTATGCTGCAAAATTTCATATAATTAACTATCTGCTTCACACCTACACTCCTAATCAATAGACGTACAGTTCCAAGACTATGGTTTGTACCCACTTTCTCATGTTAATAGGGGCATATATCCTAAGATTTCCTGTGTTTGCTGTTTTGTTGCCTCTAGTCTTTAAATTCTTGATGGAAACACATATGAATGCAGAGTGAGCTACAACTAACATTTCAGGTTGGCCTCACTGGCTGCTTTCTGATTTACATAAAAAGAAACTTACCTGCCCGGAACCAAAAAGAAAAAGAAAAAGAAACTTACCTGTTTGGATTCCTAGTTGGCTGGTTCTGGAAGAGACTGAGAGAAAATCCTGATCCCAGATGGGGGAGTTTTGACTATAAACTTCTTCTTCTAACATGGACAGAAACCTAGATGAAAGAGTAAAAAAACAATAAGATTAAAACAATGAACAAAAGAAAACTTAATATATTATCAGTGACCAAAGCCTAATCATCTGTGTCAATAACCTGAACATGCAGGTCTCAATCTCAACTCAGAAATACACTAGAGAGGGCCGGGGATTTAGCTCAGTGGTTCCGCCGCCTGCCTCGAAAGCACAAGGTCCCAAGTTCGATCCCTGGTACCAAAAGAAAAAAGAAATATACTAGGGAACTATGACTCAAATGAGTAGCTCTGGTATATTCAAATATAGTAACACATTTCTACAAGTTGATCCCCCTTGACCCTGCACAGCTTGACACAGCATAGGACACAGACCACTACATCACTGAAAATGCAGTAGTCTTCCTCGGCGAGGTCAGCAAGATTTCAGCCTCCATGTATCTGTCATTGTCACTATCATTACCACCACAAAAGTTGCTAATACCAATCTAGTACTTGCTTTGTGTCTGAATTACTCTAAGAACTTCTAATTAAATCATCACATCAGGGCTGGGGATTTAGCCCAGTGGCACAGTGCCTGCCTTGCAAGTACAAGGTCCTGAGTTTGATCCCCGGTACCGCAAAAACAAAACAAACAAACGAGCAAAAAAACAGATCTTAAACCATCACATCAACTCCATGAGCTATATAATTTATTTTTATTTATCAAACCCCTATATGTTTCTCTTATTTTATGATGGCCAGTGTGGTAAATGGCTCATTTGACACTATGAAATAAAGTCCACTACTAGACTATAGACACTATGAAATAAAATCCACTGTATACTGATTTTACATATTTTTTTTAAAAATTAATGCACAGAGAAGTTAACTGGTGCGGATTCCCACGAAAGCTAAATGGTAGAGTCAGGGCTAGTACCAGAGTTTATTATGCTAACTTCCCATCACATTACAAAGCAAATGAATCTCAAGCTTTGGAGCCCCACAGAAATCACCTGGCGATCTTTTTAGAAATAAAGATACCAAGCCTCACCTAAGCTTATTGAGTTCTTTTCTCTACTACATGGAGACTAAATAGAAATATCTAAAAGCACTAAAAGCAGGGCATGGTGGCAAAAGCTGTAATCCTAGCACTTGGGAGGCTGAGACTGGAGGACTGACACAAGTTCAAGGCCAGCCTGGGCAAATAGGGAGACTCTGTCTCAGTAAAAACTAAAAGCGCTAAAAGTAGTTCAGAGTGGTGAGGCTATGAGTTGTCTTTTTCTTCTCTACTCTCTAAACCACATTTTCTTTGACATGTGTATTTACCACATTTTGAATGAAATACAAATGCTCAATTTAAAAATAATGTAAATAATCAGTAGATGAGGGGAGGAAAGACACAAGTAGAAGCCAAATGGAAGAAACAGCAGCTTATGAAGATACAAAAATAAGGACAGAAGCCACAAAAATACATCTGAGAATCACAGAGACTTCACTGGGGGCTGGGAAGTGGGCCCCCCGCTTTGATTCTGAGACCTCAAGAGTGAAACAGCACCTCCGACCCCAAAATGTATGATTCTGCTGCCAAAACTGTAGATATAAATCCCCAGCAGCCTCAAATGTTGTCATATTCAATGAAAAGGGATTTAAAAGGAGAAGTGGGTGGTAGTTTCACCCTGCTATTAGTAACAGAAGAAAAGAAAGCGGTGTTGATTTTTTAGCTCAACAGCATAAGTGTCCCAGAAATATGGGCTGAAGGAAAAAAACACTATAATTAGCAAATATTTGCAAGAAGCAAAATGAATTTGCTATGAAAAAAAAAACTTGTTACTATGCAAAGTAATTAAAATTTCTCCTTTAGCACCGTAACAAGTATGTATGTGGGGGGGGGGGTCCCCCAATGTGTGTCCCTTGGCTTAGAGACAGAATGACAACTATTAACTGAAAACATAAAATACTGCTTATGTGGCAAATGTAATAAAAAAGTTCAAAACTGCCTTAAAATCTAAGCAAAAGAGCTCAGACCAGTTGAAAGACAGACACTGAACTACATAAACATGCCCAAAAATGATAATCTATTTTAGGGGTAACAGCAAACTGCAGTGCCTTTAAGACCTTGAAATCTCCCTCCCCAGGGTACAAAGGTGTCCATGTCATGACTCACTCTTATATACTATTTTTCTTATGATAACTTATGCAATCAGGATGCTAAAATACATGTACACTACTGGGTATCAATCAGCTAAATCTCATGAGAATTAACTATAATATCCTCTAACTAAGCTTAGAATTTGAATTAAACTGCCAAGGAATTTTCGGTCAGTATCTATTTTTATTTTCTTGCTGTTGTTGTTTGGTTCTACCTTATTTTTAATGATTAAAACCATCTTTTCTGAGACACAAATTGGGTAATCCAATAGGAACAATAAACATCTAGTTTCTCAAATCAAACAATTTCAACAAGCTTTGATCAAAGAATACAATGCCTCCTCTCACATTCTCTTCTCTGAATCAACAGTCACCAATGGGGTGAGGAAAGAAAACTGTCTCATACCTAGAGAGTCATTTTACATTATACCTTCTCCCTCCCCCATCAAGTGCCAATCTGGGTGGAATGACAACCACAAAGTCAACTGTCTCACTCAGACGCTGCTGTCACTGCTCCATAGCAAGTCATAAACCATACCAAGCTTTTAGCCTAAATTTGGGTTTTGGCATTGAAAGATGCATTTCCAAGGCCAGTGGTACAGCACTTTTTTTGTATAGCTTTGATATATTTCATTCATTTGAAAATACTGAGGCTAGGGGGTGTGGCTGTAAAATCCTGGCCTGGCAGGTGCAAAGCTCTGAGTTCAGTATGAGGTGAATACTGAAAAGATGATGCAATGTTCTGGCTCTCTGGTGGGTAAAGCAAGGTGCAAGAGGATAGGTCCACTCTCTCATCACTCTCTAAGACACTGAGCACAGAAGCACGAAAGCCAGGCTGAAGAAACCCTGCTGCAAGCCAGCCCTGTCTTGCAGTACAGTCTCCAAAGATGTGGCAAAGGTAGCTAAGACAGGCTGGTTTACCAACACTTAGAGAGGTTAGGAGACTCAGGATGAAAAAAAAAAACAGCCGGTTGAACTCTTTGTACCAGAAACTGCACTGCTGAGTTCTCTCCCACCCCGCTTCAGCATCCTGGCAGCTGAATAGAGAAAACAAAGTGCTGGCCCACAGCATAGGACTCAGAGACAATGGGGGCAGGGGGATTAAGAAGCAGTGGTTGAAGTGACATGAAGTCAAGCTAATAAATAGAACTGGAAAACAACCACAAAGATTCACCAAGGGAAGTGAGGGACCTACCCCCTCCTCCCCATGATGCTTTCTCTATCATATCTGATTTTTTTATCTACCAGCTTTGGTATGTATTTTGAAATCTCAAGTCCTGAGGCTGGGCATGGTAGTGCATGCCTGTAATCCTAGCACTTGGGAGGCTGAGGCAGGAAGACTGCCACAAGTTCGAGGGCAGCCTGACCAACATAGATAGTGAGTTCAAGGGCAGCCTAAATTACATAGCAAGATCTTGTCTTAAAACAACCAAAAAGAGAGAGAATGAGAGAGAGAGAACAAGAAGCCTCAAGTCCTGGGATCAAACACAGACCAGCAAAAGCTCTTCCTTACTTTGGGAAATGGGTGAGGATTAGAGTTCGTTTCTCAAGAGGCAGTTTGTCTTTTTCCTGTCTTGCTTGTTCCAGGAGTTGTCGCCTCATTACAGTGAAGACCGAGCGAAGCAACGTTCTCCCAAACACCTGGGTGGTTTCATACCGAGGTAGACTGTCACAGAACTGGGGCACATTGCAGTAACACAGCCACCTGCAACAAGAGGAGACAAGCACCATGAGTACCCCAGAAGCCCACAGGTCATCTGAGAGCGAACTGTAGTGACTCAATCGATTAATCACAGCAGAAGAAAGTGGCCCTGCAACGACAAGCAACTGGTGAGACTTGGGAATTAGATCAGCCTGCCCTTAACACCACCACTTGGTGGAGTTAGCACTGTCCAATGCTGCCGCATCCTGCCACAAGCCCTGGGGTCAAACCTCTACTTTGATACTTACCTGGTGCCATAACATTGGAAATGTTATTTTGCTACTCAGTCTCCCTTTCTTTACCTATAAAAAAGAGACAAATACAGCTACAGTATTTCACTGAGCATTAAATGGTATATCGTGTGTAACGGACATACTGTAATTCAAGTTTCAGGCAAGTAAATAGTAGTTTAAGTAAAAGAAAAACCTAAAGGAGAAGCTGAAGAAGCCCCTTTTGGGATCAGAATCCTTCCACCCAGTTCTAAGTGAAATTTAAGGTTTTTTAAAAATGCCGACCACTGCCGGGGATTTAGCTCAGTGGTTTCACCGCCTGCTGCGCAAGCACAAAGACTCAAATTCGATCCCCGGTGCAAAAAAAAAAAAAATGCCGACCACTGAACACACACATATCACTGAAGCTGTGGTAGGAAGATAAAGATCTTCAAGGTTGTTCAAAATCAAAATTCAGTCGAAATGGAGGAAGTAAAACCTTCCACCATCTGTGGCCTAGGTACTCTGCAATAACTAGACTCAGAATACAAAATGTGCCTCAGCATTGCATGAGGCCGCAGGAGGGCCCAGACCAGAGCAGAGTCAGGGGCCTTCTTGAGGTCTGACCACAGTTCTAGGGTACGCTGGCAATACAGTTTACCCCATTTAGAAAGCTCCTCCAGTCAACAGAAGCTGCTAAATGAAAAAGGCCTCTCAAAAATGATGTTTTTTTGTCTCCCAGAAACACAAGGTACGAAATTCCCAGGATCCTGTAACATGTATATAACCATGTGAGCCATGCAGATGGTGGCAGCAAACCAGGGAAATCTGGTCAAAGATTGTTATTTCACAGATCTGTGGTAGCAGATCCCAATCACCCTTGTCTAGGATAGGGCTGCTTTCCAAAAACCTAAAGGCTCTCCCTCTTTAGCCTTTCCTGTTTGAAGCAAGCAGGGAAGCTCTCTAACATGCCAGAGCTGCTACAGGAAGCTCATGGTGAACTTGAAGCACCTTAATGAAGACTGAAATAGCATTAATTTATTTGGGCCTATGGCTTCATTTTTTATCTTATCCTGCACATTACATCATATTTCCCCTGTGTGAGGAGGTGGTGATTGCAGTGGTGTTTCACCTTTGGAGAAAAAAACGTTCATTAGTGTTACCTTACCTGCCTGGATTCAAAATTAACCTTAAACCCCTGCTATTATTTCTCCTCTCTCAACTTCTCTCTCTTTGTAACTTAGACCAGAATGTCATTTTATGATTGTAATACTGAAATGGGTATCTCAAGTGCTGTGTTGTATCCTGTCAGTTCTGAAACAGCGATCTTGGTAGCAGAAAAATGAGAGAACATTCATTTTGGAACTCACATAGAAATTCATCACCTTCAAAGCCAATCATTGATGTATACTGACCTGGGATCACTTAATAAAGTGAATAGAATAGTAAGCAATGAAGGGACTCCCAGATCTCAAGTAACTAATTTTGAAACTATAAATGTTAAGAGTTAAATAGTCATGAACCTTAATAATAACAAGTTCAACTTCATGGGATCTTTTTATCCCAAGACTATTTAAAACTTAATATTAAAAATATAAGATAATCTGTATAATATTCTGTGATTTAAACTAGTGCTTACACTAAGCAAAGCTTTCAAAGATAATAGAAATAATCTATATCCATGCAGGTTAACACAGTGGTCACTAGCAACATGTAACCACTGAGCACTTGAAATGTGGCTAGGACTGCTGAAGAGTTAAGTATTATTTTTACTTAATCAACTTCAATTTTACTTTTAAATGGAAACAGCCCAAAATATTTTTTCCATTAAATACAACTTTATGTCTAGCTTTAACTATTTAAAATTACTGGTTGGGGCCGGGGATTTAGCTCAGTGGTGCCGCTGCCTGGCTCGCAAGCACAAGGTCCTGAGTTCAATCCCCCATACCTAAATAAATAAAAATAAAATAAAATAAAAACTGCTGATTGAATTAAGATATAGTTTAAGTGTAAAATATATTCCAGTGGCCGGAGGATAAAGCTAAGTGGTAGAGCACTTGCTTAGCATGAATGAGCCCCTGGTTTGATGCTCAGCACTGCAGAAATAAAAAACAAAACCATACACACAAACACACACACCAAATTTGGATAACTTAGTGCACAAAAAGAAAAAAAAATACAGACTGGGGGAGGGAGGGAAAAAAGAAAAGAAAAAGAAATTAAAATAGAACCAGGCCAGGCTAGGCTTGCTGGCCCACATCTGTAACCCAAGCTATTCAGAAGGCTAAGCGATAAGGATCTTAAATGGAAGACCAGGCTGGGTAAACTTAAGGAGACCGATTCAAAATAAGAAAAACCAAAAGGGCTTGGGAAGCTAGGGTGTGGTAGTGCACACCTGTAATCCTAGCACTTTGAGGGACAGGAGGATGGCAAGTTCAAGTCTGGGCAACTTACACAGAGTCTCAAAATAAAAATTAAAATACAAAAAAGGGCTGGGATATACAGTAGTTTGATACCAAGGCCCTGGGTTCAATTCCCAGTACCATTAAAACAAAGAAAAATACATTCTTAATAGTTTTTCACATTGATTACATGAGTAGATAGCATTTCTTATATATTGAGTAAAATAAAACATGCAGTGTGATTAAAATATAAGGTTAATGTTTCTATTTTTTAATATTATTATAAAAGGCACATTGTCATTAATCACTCTTAAAATACTCCCCTGCTTTCAAACACACTTATCCCATTGTTCTTGCCATTTTCTGAAGCAGTTCTACAAGTTTTCCTTTGTGTCTTTACAAGGTATGATCAAAAACGTAGCGGATGCTGCTGCTGAGTGCCATGCAATGGAAAGGTAGGCTGTTAAGAACATGACAGTGTGTCCTCATCCACTGGATCTGGCATGGTTTAACTTCTGACTCTTCTACAAGTCAAAATGACCATGAAACATAAATATTTTCTATCAATTCAGAACATGAAGGCAGCCACAAAGTGCAGCTAAAGACACTCATAAAACAGGGCTTCCAGTCGGGTGGGATGCCACCTTTAATCCTAGCTCTTAAGAGGCTGAGTAGGAGGACTGCCTCAAGTTCAAGGCCAGCCTGAATGAGAGTGAGACCCTGTCTCAAAAGAAAAAACAAGGCTTCAAGAACTTCTTCAGAAAGTGGCAAAAATGATGGGGCACATGTATTTTAGGTGAAGGAAACTATTCTGAGAGGAATTAATGGCAATGTGTCTTTTAGTGTAATAAATTTTTTAACATTCTCATTTTTCCATCATGCTACATATTAAAATTCCCCATATAGGGCCAGGGATTTAGCTCAGTGGTGCCACTGCCTGCCTCCAGAGTTCTATCCCTGGTACATACATACATACACACACATACATAAATACATACATAAATAGAATTCCCCACATCTTTTTTTTTGGTATGGGAGATCAAACTCGGGTCCTTGAGCTTGTGAAGCAGCCACTGGAACCACTGAGCTAAATCCCTGGCCCTATTCTTTTTTAACGAAGCTACTAGAATGTAAAATCCCATTTTTCTTTGCATTTGTGGCTCACATTACATATCTCTGGACAGTACTATTTAGCATCTAAAGAGCATTTCATTTCCATCTGTGGAGAGGTCCGCAGACATCTAAGACTCTAAAATGGATAATTTTTCTACTACAGAGATGATAGGTCAAAAATATTAACATAAATCATAAAATTTTATCTGAAAGTGCTTAACATGTCATTCGCTCTTCCCAGGGTACAGGAAGACCGCACACGCTGCTCTCATCTACTGACATTTTTCAAATAGATTCCCGCTTATTTCCTCAGAAAGTCACTCTATAGTCATTATTTATGCTTTTCAGTTTTGATTTGTTTTTACTTCCAAGATTAATCTTATCTAAGAAGCTATAGAGCACATGGGAAAGAAGGCAACATGGTGTGGGAGGAAGGTAGCACTGCTTCCATAAACTGACACCATCACTGCATGCAGTGACACAGAAAGGAGACAGACATGCGTGGGGCACACATTCCTCCAGACTTCACCCTTGGAAAAAATTGTACACACATGCCAGATTTCAGGTCTCCTAAAGAGAAGTGAAATGATAGTTCCTTCAGCTCTGAATGCCTCATAGAGATGGCACCTGTGTGCTATTTACTGGTAACACTCACATTTTTGACACTGTGACGATGACTTGTAATTTTAAAGTATGAATAGAATGCAGAACACAAGATTGTTCCTGTGTTTGCTGAACTAAAAATCCGGTTTTCAGGAATTAACTGAATTATCTTAGGTCACAAGGAACTAAAAGCTAGTTTCTACAGATTTAGCATAACAAATCTGAAATCCGAAATGCTTCAAATTACAAAACTTCAAGTTTTCAGATTAGGGATCTTCAACCAGTAGAGTCTATGCAAACACTTCAAAATCTGAAAAACCCCAAACTGAAAGGCTTCAGTATGCATGCTGACAGGCTCTACTCCACAGGATGGGTGCCTGAAACTGCTTCCCAGAGCCAAGGTAATCATACCCGCCTTGCTCTATGTTCTTATGAAACATCTCCCCAGTGTGCGATTACATCTTTAACTTTCTGAAGCTCTGCACAATTCAACATTTAAACTGGGCATAGAGGGCCAGGAAGGTAGTTCAGTGGCTCTGTGCCTGCCTGGCAAGCACAAAATCCTGAGTTCAATTCCCCATACTGAAAAATAAAAATAAACTGGGCGTGGTGGTGCACACCCATGATCCCAGCACTCCAGAGGCTGAGGCAGGAGGATTGCCAAGAGTTCGAGGCC